GCTCTGTGTTAGTATTCTATATTTGCCTCTTGATGTTTGCAGACATTTCACTTTGTATTGTGTAACATGAGATTACTGGAACCTGAATCTGTTCAGAGTAAGATATTTTCATCTGCCTACAAAAATATTAGTGAATGAAACAGTGTTCGCTGTCTGAATGCAGAGTTAAAATGCAGAGTATAAAATAAAAATGGAAAAGCCAGACATTGTAGGAGAAGTTACTGAAATGAGAAATGGAGGACAAATCAATATGATTATGTGCATTTCATAAATTGGTACCATATCCAGTTTTCATATGTTACATTGTATATGATACAGGTTTTTTTGTGGGATTTTCCACATTTTTATTAGAAATGATTTCTTTTAAAACTACTGTTGTGCAGGAGATTGTTCATTGAGAGCTTTGCATAATTAATCAGTCAACTTGCCTAATCGAAGCTTTTATTTTGATTATTATTCTACTTCACAAAGAAACGACCAGTTTTATGAAAGTTATATAAGCAGAAAAAGTAATTCTTGTTCATATTATATTAAAAACAGCTTGCAGTAATACTGTTTTAGTGGAAAGAAATGTGATTGGGTATGCAGTGCTTCATCAAGCAAATACATAAAATCAATATGCATTAAAAATCAATCAGCCGTACACATTCTGAATAACATTATTTATTGTGTCTATTATATTGTTATTCTTAATTTAATAGAATTGTGTAGTATAAGCAAATTTTAGAAATTGATGTGTGCAAGTATCTGAAAGCATAAACCAGTGGCTATGGCATGTCAGAATTTTAGACTTCTAATTTAATTCTTCACATAATTGCATATTTCAAAATTCTACTTCTGTGTTAGTATTTCATACACGAACAATTCTATAAAATTGTTTCATTAAAATTTAAGGTATAAAATTTAATAAATGGGGTAGTTATAAATTCAAAAGCAATCAGAGGGTGTTTCATGTTAGTTCTTCAGGAAAAAAAAATTGTTAACTTTCGTGTTAGAAATAAACTCATTTCTCTAGTTCGATTTCAAAATGCATTCGAAATTTGCTCTAATTTTTTGTTATCTGTACCATGCCTATGAGTAGCAATTTGAAGTTTAGGGGTGCACAATATATTCATCAAGTTTTAGCTTTATAGTTTTGCTAATATACAACTTAGTAAAACACACTTTTGGTCATTATCAAACATTGTACTGTGCAATTTAAATAGCTGTGATTGAAATATTCTAGTTAGGTGGTATTAAAAGTAAATACAATGAAATAATTTGCATTCATTTAATAGTATATTAAATGCAAGTCATATATGGGCAATGAATGAAAAATAATATTCTGGAGCATTATGATAATAAATTTATAAGTAAAGTAGATAATGAAATATTGGGAATAAAAAAATAGGTAATGTAGCTGACTGGTTAAAAAATGTGAAATTAAAGAGTCCAAATTTTACATTAATTATATTAGGAAAAATAGGAAAATACAGATGCAGTGGTTGTAAAAACTGTTCTAGTTAAACAATAAGGAGTTGAATAGTCAAAATAGAGCACAGTTATTTTTAAAAGCTAGAGACAGTTTATTTTTTTAATAAGCTTTTATACGAAAAATGGACCAATTTTAAATAAACAGAAAACTTAAGTTTTAAGTCCTTTTTGTTTAAAAGGGAAAATACAGTTGTAATCTATACCAATGATTTACGCTTTATTAAGTTCCCAACTTGCACAAAATATAGCAGTATTAATTAAGCTATTATATCACATCTGATTTGCATGTCATATTTTATGATAGCTGCTATTCCCTAGGCGTATATGATTTCTGAAATTTATTTTGAGAATTGTCGTAAAGGATTATTATCTTTTAAATGTTGTACATATTTCAGGATGTAATTTTGATTTTAGTTTACAGGTAATTCTTAATAATTAATTTTTTTATTAGTTACTGATACGTCTAGTTGATGGTATACTTTGCAAGTTTTTTGAGTGAATTAAAGTGAAATCATTTTTGAGGGGTAAAAATTGCTTCAATTATAAGGTGCACTCTAAATTTCAAGACATCTGCAAAAAATAAAACCCTAAAATGCCTCTAGCAAGTTTTTTTTTTAATAAATTTTAAATATTTTTTCATTTTCATATATTAACAACAGTGGTATTCCATGATTTATTAATAAACTCGAAAAATTTGTTACTTGAGAATAATTTGGAAAAATCTGTGATATGAAGATGCTGTAAATTATAAGCCACTCTGTATTTAGCAATGCTTTATATATGGGGAAAAAAAAAAAAATCATCTGATTCAAAGAAATATGATGTAGTAAATAGCTGCAACATGCAAGGGTAGTATTTAATTCTTTGGAAAAAGAAGCAGCAAAATTTATAACTGGTTTGCTGCTTTTAATGCTGTAAAATATCAAACGAAGTAAATATCAAACAAAATAATCTTCTAAAATAATTAATCTACTGAAATAGTTTACGTTACGGCATACGTTTCTCGTGTGTTTAGGCAACGGATAATAGTTTAAAAATAATATGCCCTGTAATGTCAGATGAGTGGCACATATTTAGTTTACCTATTGAATTATCGTAGAATAATTAGTTAGTTCATATATATATCAACTATATGAAAGCTGCAATTTGTCTGCATTAAATGATAGTTATTAGCAAATAGTATAATTTAGTGGATTTTTTAGTACTAAAATCGTAAGGAATTCAACCCATGCGTCATTCAGTCTTGGAAGTGAATAAAGAGCAATTTATGCATGATTGCTGCAAAGCCGTATTGAAACAAAATAAACATTAAAGAATGCCGCTAACCAATTAAGGACTGTGGCTATCCAAAAAAACCTTTGCAGGTCTTAGCGTGATCTATGCATGCTAAGCAAGAGGCCATCCTATAATAATTGATTATTTATAAGGTCAGCATTAGACGTTTTGCCAACTGGTGCGATTTCTTTGGTTCCTAAATTCTGCTGTGTAGTGCATTCCTAAATTCTAAATATACCACGGACACAAATGCCAGGTGCAGCCACACTGGTTGCACCGATCTCTGCAAATGGACTGTTAAGTTTCCCAATAGATTTTATCCAAGTAGGAACTCCGATAGATAATATCAGCTCACTGTACTACTCATTTCTCCTACTGACATCAGTCAAGCTAGATTTCTTTAGAAAGGCAGCTGCACACCATAACCAAACATCCCCAGCCTCATGTTTCTTGGTCTAGTGAGTTGTAGTGCCAGCTTTTTTTGTTCTGATTGGCATGTATGAGTTTAGTATCAACCATAAAAAACTATGATAAAGCGTGCAGTGTGATGATTATTTAGGCCAGTGATAGATCTGTATGCTAGGAATACTGTTTTTGCATTTTCATTTTTGCCTTTGAAGCAACTTTGCAGGTGCTGTCTGAGCATTTGTTCCCTTTCATGTGATCTTCTTCATTGCTGCCAGTAGTTGCTTTCAACAAGGCAGAATACATTTACTTGCTGTTGAGAATGTGTTTTGTAATAGCTAGCCTATTAAAGATAGTGCAATCAGTATTGATATGTTAGGTTATGAAACAGGGTGAAATTTACAAAAGTTGAAGATGAAAATTGTTTCTTAATGTAGGATGAAAGGTAAAAGGCATTTTATATTACAAAAGACATATCTTTAAAAATATATATATATGTAGATCGTTAGATGGTGGACGATTGGATTTCACGCTTCAATTTCTTGCATTTTCTGCCCTAGAGAATTTTGATTTTATCAAATACATCTGGTAGCAGTAGCCATCATATCAGTAGTCCTTACCTGTTGACTAGTAGGTTATTTCAAAGCTTTATTTTGATCAAACTGAATATATTAAATATTCAGTTTTAACTTTTTTGGGGTATTCAAAGCTTTATTTTGATCAAACTGAATATATTAAATATTCAGTTTTAACTTTTTTGGGGTATTCCTAAAAGAGCATGTTTTTAAAAAAATATTAATAGATTGTGTTGGTCAGACCGTGCAAAGTGGTACCCCCTAAAGAAAAACCTTACTTGCTAGACTATTTTGTAAAAAATAATTTTTGAAGGAGAGAGAAATTACCTTGTCATGTTCAGCTAATATTTTTGTTGTAATGATTTTACTTTTATGTGAGGCGTAGTAATTTTTTTGAGTTTTTATAGAAACTGGAGCAAAAAATTTATTTAGAAACTTTCTAATTACACTCTTTTGAATAAACGGCATGATTTTTATATTGAATTCTTATCCCCTTCTTTATTGCTCTTGCAACAATTATTATAAATGTCATGTTTATAGGAAAAAAAAAATTACTGGAAGGGAAAGTCAGCAATCATATCGTAATCTTAAGCATGTAATTAAACGTGTACTGACTGTGTTTGTATATTAAATTACATTATAAAATGAGGATTTACCTCATTTTTTTTTTTTTTTTTCCCCCAATTTGGAAGTGTATGAAAACTGCATTTTTTTAAAGCTAACTATTTGGGAAACTAGCCAAAAGTTTGAAACTTAAAAAAAAAGGGGGGGCAGGCAGTAGCGATTATACTGTTGCCTCTTATGAAGGGGCAGACAATTTACATCCATGCACCACTTTCCTATTAGGGTGGCATGAAAAAACTTCAAACATAATGTACACAAATGATAGAAATCCCAAACTCCATTAAATCTGAGGAAGCAATATTTTGTTTTCTCGCTACTGTCGCAAGAGGGTCCAATTAAAATGTCTTGCAGATGAAAAGGGTTTTGGAATAACATAAATTTCCCTACATTATCTTCCACAAATTATTTTGTGATGTCTTGTAGATGAAAAGGATCTTGGATTAACATAAATTTCTCTACAATATCTTCCACAATGTATTTTGTGAACCAGTCAATGAGCTTTGAAAGGTGTTCCATGTAAAGGGACAGCTATTCAGATAGAATATTGACTTTGTATATGTATTGGTACAATGTAGAAAAACAATCTTGAACACTATCATCATTCATTTTTTTTTTTTAATCCACAGCTGCAGCTTTTACCCAGCTGCTGCAATCTCTTAAGTTTCAAGATAAGCATACATTGTTCTCAAGTAATAGAAAATATCTGAGTGTCAAAAATGTTAGTGTCAGCAAAATACCCAGCAATCAAATGAACCTTCCTCTTCCAGAAAAGTGAGAATTTCTTGATAAACGCATGAGACAAGATGTTGTCACGCAAAAGTCATTGTGAACTGCAATAGTATAGCAGAGCCATGTGTTCAGCTTCTATATCTTTGCATAGCATTTTGGAAAAACTTGCCTTCAGCTGTGTAGTTTTTATGTAGTTCCCTATGTCTATGACAGATTCTGATGCCTAATTCAACTGAAGACTAAGTGGCCTCGATGCAAGTGCTTCTTAGTTGATACTGCAAAGGGTCCACATTCGAGTTTTGCTGCAAATAAATGCCTGCAGACTTGCATAGCAACTGAACGATCAAGCACCATCAGTACATACACAGATGCACTTTTTCCAATCTAAATAATTTTTGTTATAAACTTGTGTAGCATTTTGGTCTTGAGCCTTTGCACTTCCGAATAATGTTTTTACAGAACAGATCTTCTATAATGGTATTACTGTCAAAAAAACTTGCATGTAAGATTTTGATTTTTATTACTGTCAGTAGCCTCATCCATCTGCAGACCGCATTTTCTTTCATTTCCTCTATCAACTAATCAGTGCGATTTTCAGCTATACATCGAATTCGTCTAATAATGTTGTTGGATACAGGTACATTAGATATAATATTTTCCATCATAATAATAACCATGTTGAGTACAGTTCTTGCGATTGTGTGCTTTTTTTTGCAATTTGTCACTCTGAGCTACCTTAAAAGACACTAGCTGTGCATTACTCAGAACTGATACACTTGTTTAGTGAACACAACACTTTTCTTTTCTAAATCTTGCAACTTCCTGGGGGGGGACCCTGAGATTTGTCAACCTAAGGCTGAATGCTCTTGAGTTTACTTTAGTTTACTTTACTTTAGTTTACTTGGGTCAAGATGTTGTTTTAGTTTACTTGGGTGCATACTTTCGCACGTGTGTAATTTTTTAAAGACAGGACACATTTGTTATTGTTGTCTTTAATCGTTATTTACTTCTACTAAAGTAAAAGGGCAATCAAAGTAACTTTCTTTATAGTTTTGGCATTTTTGCCATTTTTCTTCTCCGTCAGTTGTTACTCAAATTTGAACTATCATTACTATTTGTTTGCTTACTTAATAAAATGTTTTCATTTTATGAAATATCAATGAGGATTCGTTGATTTATTGTAATATTTCGTCAAGCTCACGATTTTTTTATAGACGTATAAGATTGTGCAACCTTCCCCATCCATTCCTGAATTTGATACTAATGATTGTAAACTAAAAAAAAAAAAAAAAAAAAAAAAAAAAAAAAAAAACGAAACACCAACAGATGCCACTGCTGAGAAGCCAAATATAGCAATCTTGTGATAGTAAGTAATAGGTGAAAAAAATTGTGTGAAATTAATCGAGTATATAATAATGTATGAGCAGCATTTGATGCAACAACATAGAATTATTGCAAATTGAAAGAACAAAGTGGTAGAAAAATTAGTGCTTAAAAAACAAAATTAATGCAATTAGAAGACCAATTGAAATATAAATATTGAGAAAATTTTTGGGAACTATTATTTTAAGAAAGAGAATAAAATTAATGAAAGTATAATTAACAAAAAATATGGCCGAGCTTTCAACACAAGTCTTGTCTCTCCATGAAGCAAGGCAGGGGCACTGCAAGGTTCCCTGGGCTTACATTACAGTCTCCCAGGGTGCTGCGGGCACACTTTGCGAAATCCTGCCTTAATACCTATTAAAATAGCTGGGTTGCAGAGTAACCATTTTTGAGTCTGTTTATACTTTTTTTTTTTTTTAAATATAGCTACTACATACTTTCTTCTTTGGTTGCTAAAAGCAGACATTTTTCTAGGGCGAGGATGAATCCAATAAGCACAGGTAACAAAGTCTGTCTTCACGCACACAAAAACTTGTAACTTTAATCTGCTTTGTTTTATATGTCCATTTGTATATATATTTTGCATTCAAAGAAAGGAGAAAATTTGGGTATCTTTAATGAACATCCTAGTTAACACTGAACTTAAAAATTTTGATTGGACATTTTCATGCTATCTTTTCCAGTCATATAAAGAAATATCTCCATTCTGTTTAAAAAGGCACGTTTAATTGGTAGTAAACCAGGAGAATTTTAAAAAAGTCCTTCTCCTGTAGTCTGTATTTAAGTGTGTTTAACAATTAATTCATAAAGCACATCTTTGTTAGTGGCTAACTTTAAAACTTTTTAAGACTGGAAAATTTGAAATTTTCGTATTATTAGTTGGGAAAATAAAAGAAATATAAAATGTCTTGACTTTTTTTTTCAAAATAAGGTTCCTACAAACATGGAAAAAAATGCTGGAAACTATAATTTTGAACTATACCATTACATTTAAGTGAAAATGCACGAAAGTTGAATTGTAGCCATGTCTTTTTTTAACAAATTGCTTTTTGTTTCGTTGGATACGGGTCTTCTGAGGTACTTTAATTTTTTGCAAACTTTTAAAATTGTAGGGAACACAATGCTGTATCAGACAAATATAATTGCCCCACCTCCCAAAAAAACAGTGCAATAAAAATAATAGTTTTTGAGCTGAAATTGTTTTGAGATGATTGCCTCCTCCAAAAAAATAAAATATTTTAAAAGTAGCAAAGCAATCATGAGTGCAGTATCATTTGATATGAAATCACACATGTGTTGTTAGTTGTGATATAATAGCTTACAAGTCTATTTTCCAAAGCATTTTGGGTTAAGTATAGTATGAATATAAAGGTGCTGATCAGGTTATAATTACTATAATGAGATGGTGCTGATATAACACCAATGTAATTATGAGTTATTCTAGTTTAAATTAGATTTATGATAGTCCATAAAATTGTGCACCCCTCTATTTGAGGTAAATGCTTTCGGCTTTTTCTCCGGTAGTACTGTCTGCACTTTTATTCGGTTTTAGAGGTGCACCTTTCATTCTCTTCCATTGTTGAATTTATTTTCAGCAGCAGATTGTACAGAAGTTCTCAATTTGAAGACCATTATAATGGATCCTGTTACATGTTGGGAAGGTCAGGCAATAAGTCGTGTCGCCCTCTGAAATATCGAAATTGAATTGGAAAAAGAAAGAAAAGTAAGAATTTGGCTTAAATGAAGTTAAAACTATGTGAGTGTTTGAAGATCAGTCTTATCTGATTAAATATTTTGGATAATTATGGGAAAATAGATATGAATAAATATGGGAATGTATATTCTTAATCTTAATGCTATTATTTGCACATACTTAAAAGATTGTTCTAATTATATTAATTGTACTTTCAATGCATCTTATAAAGTCTTTTAATATATCTTTTATCACAGTCTTTTAGTGTGTGCAGTTAATTGTATTTTGTAAAAGAATTAAAAATTTAACATGAACACATGCAATAGAAGTATTCTTCTACAAAAGAGCTTAAATTAAATTCAAGCAAAAACTTATTTTTTAAAATTTAAATGTTAATACATTGAATTTAAGTAAAGTGTTAAAATCTAAAGTATCATATTTTCACTAGTTCCCCCTTGTATTTCTCTTTCGTGTGGTTCTCTGTTTGTGCTATTACAATTAAGCACAATGATGGAAAGCTGTCTGCACTCCTTCTATCATTTTACATTGATTTTTTTTTTTAAAATCAGTTTTTAAACTTTTAGAGGATTAAAAAACCCAGTTTTCTGTTTTCAGAGTTCATTCGATTTTCAAATAATGTCAGACTACTTCATGTATATGATGCATCTTTTTACTTTAAAGTCCATAAATTTTTATTTTAGAGTTTTGAAGTATTAAACAATTAATCACTCCCATACAGGTAGAGAATTTAGTTATTCTAATTAGAAAAAATACTTATTCTATAATAGTTTTTTTTATTTTCAAAAATTTTCACTCAGTAATATATGGTTTCTAATGTTTTAAATTTTTATAGTTTTTCGTATAGGGCTAACTATTTCAGTAAGATAGTAGGTTTTTCTTTTTTAAATAATAAAGGCAGAAAATGCCAATCTAGTTTTGATACTTAAGTGGTGTGTGATGCACACATTTTTAAACAGTATTATAACAGTTAATATTGTTTAAAAATGCCTTCTGGTACTAGAACATTTGGATTACAGGTTTAGAGTTTAGCTTATTTAAAAAAAAAGGGGGGGGGCTGGGTCAGTGTTTTCAGATGCACAAATGGTGTGCGATGTGCACATTTTTAAACAGTATAATAGTTAATATTGTTTAAAAATGAGTTCTGGTGCTGGCGCATCTAGATTATAGGTTTAAGAGTTGTGAGTTTAGCTTATTTCACTAAAAAAAAAGTGGGTGTTTTATCTCAGAAGAGAGATCAAAATTTTACGTAGAGCATATTTGAATTTTGAACACAGATAAAATGAGATAATAATCATAGTATCAGAGTAGTAAAATTGGTTGAGCATTTTAAAGTTCATGATGGTGGGCTACAAGTGCTGTTGATTAACATTGTTAAGAAATAAAGCAATGGCAGCTCTAATCTTAAGAGTATACTTTTAATTCTTTAATACTATCATATTCCAGATTTAAGAATTCTTTTGGTAGTTCAGTCAATGATAATTATCACGGAAAATATTTCAGGAAAAAGTTCAATTATTTATTAGCCATAGTTTTAGGTTTAAAACATGAGTCTTGAAATTGACACTATATTAATTGAAATTGCTCAACTTTCACAATTTTTTTCCACCAGGAATTCCTCTACATAGATTAAAAACTCAGTGGTGCCTGTTTTTTCTCAGTTTGTGTTGATCCACCTTAAAACTAAATCTGTAGTACTTAAATAGTGCTTCCTGAGTTCTTTCATAGATATTTATGTAAAGAGAAAGGAAAATTTAAGTACTAGGATATGATTTTGTATATACCAATTTAATAAAAATTTAAGTTTTGGAGGGATGAATAAAACACTTTACGTCTATTTTAGAACACTGTCAAGTTCAAACAAAGTAGGCTTCAGTAAAATGTATTTTGAACTTTCTTGCTAACGGTTTTATTTCCTATTATGATCATTTTATTAATATTTAGTGAAATGGGGAAAAAATCGAGTGACTTGCTCCAATCTTTTCTTCTCAAAATGTTTTTAAAAATGTTTGTGTAACTGAGTAATTATGTAAAAGTATTATCAATGTTCCTTTTAAATAGGAGAATGGTTGGTATTTTTTTTAAAAACTGAATACTTTTTTTAACATATGAAGGATTAAGAAATTTTCCAATTTCACTTTAGGATTGATTCTATTTATCAATTATGCATCAAAAAGAAATTCCTTTGCAAAGTAGTAAGTAAAAGTAATTCAATCAAAAGAAAATGCAAAGCAAACAGGCTTTGAATTAAAAGGAAAAAACAATGCAAATAATGTGTTAAAAGATAATGGAGAAATCTTTTTTAACGCATCTGGTTCTGACAAAAATCTTGCATATTTTCTTAGTCCTGGTTATTGCATTTTGAGAAAGAATTAAAGTATTCCAAGTTAAAGGAAACATTTTTTATAAATTGTATAGATTGTATTTTACCTTCTAGGATGTCAAAAAAGACTTGAAATACATAATTTTACAATAATATGATATAATAAATCTGACAAAACCTTGAAATGTATACCTGTGTTTTTTTATGATAGCTGTTTTGTATAGCAGGACTAGCATGATATAATCAAACCAACATTTTTTAATCAAACAAACATTCAGACTTCTTTTTTAGATGCTTTGAAATATAAATTTATGAGATAAAACCTTGTGTGGATGAGAAAAAAAGTGTTAATAGAAGAACATTGTGATGTCATTTTGCGTGATTTGTAAACTATTTGATAGCATATAGGTTTTTAAAATATGTTGCTGCTTAGCAAGTAGTTATGTACCAGAATTTACTTTTAAGTGAAAAGCATTCATGGTTTCTAAGTGAAAGGCATCCAGCAAAAATTAAAAAAATTTTGTATGTTATTTACTATATAATATTGCCGTTTGATTCAATGGAATTGTTGGAATTTTATTGAAATATCACTATTTTCTTTTGAATTGGAAATCTAAATATGTGTGCAAAACATTTATTTTTTTTTTAGGTGTATTATGAACTTCTTACTAAAAAGTAGTTATTTTTTTGTTAGGTGTAAGGACTTATCTACCTGAAAATTTTTTCTAAATATCCCTAATTTTGATTTAAAATTTTAAAAATTTTCTCTTGGTAATTTTCGTTTTGTTTTAACATTTCAAATTGATATAGGAGGTTTTAATATATTTATGGTGTTAATGTAAAGTGTCCAAACTAATGCAGATATTTTAAATTTCTGCAACTTATCAGTGTAGGTTACAAAATTATAAAAGCTGTTCTGTCGAAATTTATGCAGTACAAAATCTGTTAGGCAGAACTTCATTGATTCTGAATTTTAAAATTTTCGAGATTTTAGATCATCCGTTTGTATATAGTAAGACAACATGTAGAAATTATAAAATTAAAAATCTGAAATAGTTATTTATGAAATAACGAGGCATTTATTTCTTTAAAAGAATAAAATAAAAGGGAAACGAAACCCTGACATTTGTTTTCAAGGCTTTACTGAACATTTTTGTCAGTGTAAGTTATTTCAATTTTTCTGTTAATACTTTGTTTAAATTCTTTGTTCTCTTTGCTTTTTGTTTGTTTGTAATAATTTTTTTGTTCGTATACAAGGTTTCCTGTCGTTACTAGAATTGTAAATTGAAATTTTTCTGCTCGACAAGCTGTCTGTTTCGTTCTTCACTATACATAGTGATATTTTTTGGATTTAGAATAACACTATAGATTTTACCGTTTGTCAGTTAATTAATTATTGAAACATAGCTAACAATAGGAAAATTCATTATTTCTTTGTGACATCCGAAAACCTTTAATGACTAGCTAGCGTTACTATGTTCTAGTCATGATGTATCATCATGAGATTGGTGAGCAAAGACATGTTGTTTATCTAAGTTTTTCTCACTTCTTTTAGCACAGCTGCAGCTAGGAAAGTTAGTCTGAATTATATTATTTATTTATTATATTTATATCTATTTCCTGCATATGCTTAAGGCTTATTCGAATTTCCAGTAAATTATTCCCATATATAATTAAAGCTTATCAGAACAATAAATCGGTTATTCTTAATTCAAGCAGCACAAAATGTAATCTTTTGGCCTATGAAAGTCACTTTCAAAATCTTTTCACATGGAAAGAAATTTCTATTTAATTTTTCCTTATCTACAACTTGACGCTTCACAGTGCACCTGGTTGAAGTCCGTGTTGGTCAAGCACGATGTCAACATAAAAGTTACCATGTTGTTTGGTATTGAATTACTGATATATATATATATCAATGGTACTTACGTATTAACGCAACCAGGCCAAAATTCGCATAAATCGCCAAATTTGGCAACCCTACTTACGGCAACCCTACGTGTTATATGTAGTTTTTCGTAAAGAAATTATTTTTCTTACTGGTTAGATTGAATGCCCTGAAATACTTTAACTATGGGTATTTGGGATCTGCCTGCGAGTGAAAAAAGATGCTGTTGAATTGTTGCAGGGATATGGAATTATACCGAACGAACGTACTTGTAAAAATTCTCATAAAATGAAACTGTATTTTGGAAAGCAAATCTTCTGGAAATGTAACGTCGAAGAGTGCAATCAACATTTGGGTGTGAGAACCGGAAATTGGTTTGAAGGTAGCCGAATTTCATTTGTGACAGCGGTGCGCTTCATTTATTGTTGGTGTAAAGAGTTAACCTCAATTAAATTTTGTGCAGAAGAGATGGGAATTGCTGACAAAACTGTTATAGACAAGCTCAAGCTGTTAATGGCGAAGACGGTTTTCAATCAGTGCTAAAAGCAATAGCCAAAAGATTTCCGCCGAAAAAATAATTCTGCAACTTATTCAAATTCGAAACCGGAAGGGTTTAATTGCTATTTTATATTTTAAAACAAAATGATATAAAAAACTGTATTATAAATTATCTGTAATTAATAAATGTACATTTTCTTTCTATTCATACTTACAAATCGCGCCAACCTGGTTACGATAATACGTAAGTACCATGTATATATGTAAAAAAAAAACTTGTTTTAAAGGTTGATCTAAGAGTTA